AGTTAAGACCTTTGAATAGTAGGGGGTGTTGTTTTAAAAAACCTGATTGAGTGATTATTCCCCTGGAAAATTTCTGTTGGGTAAAATATTTTTTTCGGTGATGCGCGGGTATAGATCCCCGAGCACAGATACCTTACCATAGATTAGAATAAAAAAATGAGAATATTGTGTGAGGTACTACGTTTTTTCTGACAGAAAGTTCACGTTTTTGGTAATTTTTTTCTTAGATAGTTTTGGGATGTGATTATTGAATTTCGGGTTTCAGTAAAGGTTTACAACAACATAATTTACATCAGTACAAAGGTAGAAATAATGCATTTTAAATTTTGGGGTAAATTTTTGAAACCACGGGCGGGGCGCTCAGGTATCGGTAAAAAAGGGACTCTTTAAATTTCTTTTTTATTAACCTTTTTTGAAGAAAAACAGACGGGTGTTGGTTTTTCTTGTTGGGGGAGGGAGGGGGTCCCTCTTCCTTTGCTGAGCAAAAAAAGAAAAAAACCAACTTAATAGTTATAACGACTATAATTTTTAAAGGAGTGGACGGTAAGCCAGCGGAAGCCCCCCGTAATGACTAAAAGCTCCAACAGGGGGTCATCATCTAAGCCCCAAGTGGAAACATTTTTCCCTGTTTCCTGACAACCTTACCTAACCTTCGGAGCTAAATGACACTAGAAAAGTCATGGTTCTATGGGGAGTACAACGGATTTGCGGGCCACAACTGCTGTAAGTGAAGCCATGCTCGAAAGGGGGATGATGGGAGTCAGCAGCCTCAGCAAAAAGGTTCGCAGTAGACGCATTCTATTTTAAAACTGGTCCACAGTTGTCCCATACATCCTTTTTTTGGGGGGAAATTATTTTTAAACTTTGTTCATTTTATCTGTTAAAAAAACGATGAAAAAAAACCCCGTCCCTACCTAGGATCTTCTTTCCCTTGACGATGTTCACTTCGGGTATCCAAAAGGGAAAATTTATGTGTATATATATATATTTATATATTTTTATTTTTTTTTATTACACACTGGCCGTTTCCCACCAAGGGCAGGGGGGCCCGAAAAAGAAAAACTTTAAAACCTTTTCATTCACTCCATACTGTTTTTGCCAAAGGGTGCTTTCCAAATTTTTTTAAACTGCAACTTTAAAACACCCCTCCTTCAAGGTGCGGGCAGTATTTCCCCCACTCCGGGATAAAGTCCGGCCCCCCCCTTTTTCCTGAATCCCTTATAAATTTTACTTTGCTCACCTCCAACAGCACGAAAGTTTAAAAAAACCATTTTCTCCATTCACCCCATCAAAACGCTCATCATGCCTCCGGGAAAAATTTCCAACCCCCTCCCCACACCCCAAAAAACCTCCTTTACCCCCTCCCCCCCAAAACCTTTCCTGGGCCGACCCCTCCCCCGCCTTCCTTCCCTCAGACTGATACACCTTGAAGTCATTCTGTTTCGCTCCTTTCTTTTTACATGTCCGAACCACCTCAACAACCCTTCCTCACCCCTCGGGACAACATTTTTGGGTAACCGCACCTCCCCTAACTTCCAAATACAAATTTTCTCTGCATTATTTCACACCACACATGCCCTAAACTGCTCTCCACTGCCTCCAGCCTTCCCTCGCTCAAATTCATCACCCACGCTTAAAAACCCCCAAAAAGAGCTTTGGGGAAAAACTATATCTCTACTTTTCCCCCTTGCCTCCAAGGAAAAGTTCTTTGTCTCCACAGACTCCTAAGTGAAAACCACCACTCTTTTTTCCCTCATAAATTTCTATGTTCATTCTTCTAGCCCCATCCGCTGACACGTCCACTCCCAAATTTTGAAAACGTTCCCCTCCTCCATACTCTCTCCCCCAATTGTATTCAATCTTTCATACCTATCTTTTTGTTATCCTCAAAAACCTTACTCTTTCCTGTTTCACCTTTAATTTTCTTTTTTTTGCACACCCTCCCAAATTCATCCACCATCTCGAAATTCTTTCGAACTCCCAAGGCACAGTGTCATCAGCAAAGACAGTGTGAAAAACTCCCACTTTGTGTGTATTCTTTATCTTTTAACTCCAGGGCCTCTTCCCAAAACCCCCTGCATTTATTTTCTTTAAAAACCCCATCTAAAAAATAAAAATTAAACAACCCGGTGACACAACATCCCTGTCTAAGGCCTCTTTTACGGGGAAAAAAAATTTTCCCCCTCTTCCTACATACTCTAATTAGCCTCACTATCTCGTAAAAACTCTTCACTGCTTTCGTAACCTCCCCACACCATAAACTTTAAAAATCTGCCCCATTTTCCCCCCCATCCCCCCCCTGTCATACGCCTTTTCCAAAATCCAAAAAAGCCACAAAGAAATCTTTACCTTAACTAAATACTGTTCACTTTTATTTTCACTGAAACACCTGGGCCACACAACCCCCTACCCTTTCCCAAAGCCTTTGTTTTTCTGTATCCCATTCTCCGTCTTACCTTAATTTTTTCAATTATAACCTACCATACACTTTACCAGGTACACTCAACAACTTATCCCCCTATTTTTTTTCACTCTCTTTTTTTTTTCCCCCTTTTCCTTTATACAAAGGAACTATGCATACCCCCGGAACTCTCTCCCGGGAAACTCCAGGAATGCTCTCTCCATCCCAGGTCCTTACCCTCTTTTCCCTACTTTAAAAAATAATTTCCACCAACCACTCCAAAACTATATCCCCACCTCTTTAACATTTCTATCTTTAAAACCCATCAATCCCCGGGTGCCTTACCCCCCTTTTATTTTACCTAGCCTCACGAACTTCCCCCCCACTCACAAAATGGGTCTTTCCTCACTCCAAAGATGTTATTCCTCCCTTTCCCCATACACGAAATCAAAGCTTCCCTATCTTCATCAACATTTAACAATTCCCCAAAATATTCCCTCCAAACTTCCCAATACCTCTAACTCTCCCTTTAAAACTCTCCTCTTATTTTTTAAAATGACAAATCCTTTTTCTCAGGCTTTCTTACTTGTTAAACTCACCCAAAAATTTTTCTTTTTTTCAACAAAATTGTTTATAACATTCACCCACCCTATTTTTCTCCTTTTTACATTGCTTTTCACCACTCTCTTAACCTCTCCTTTTTCTCCATATACTCTTCCCCCTTTCATCACTTTTACTTTGTAAAACTTCTCAATGCTAACTTTTTTCCCTTAACTCTCTTTAAATCAAACATTCCCCCCAATCGCTCCCCTTTTTCCCTCCTGCACCCCACTTTCCCTGTAACCACAAAAATTCTGCTGAACACTCTAACACTACATTTTTTTAACCTCCCCCTACCTCTTCGACCCCCCTTTCCTATCTCTCATTTGCCCATTATCCTCCCCAAAAGCTGTTTTTATCTTACCCTAACTGCCCCCTTTTAGTTTAAAACCTTCACCTTCTCTTCCCCGATGCTTCTATTCTCCTTGTATCCCCTCTACCTTTTCTCTCATTGCTACAACTAGAAAGTGATGTGATATATCTGTGCCCCCCCCCCATAAAAATGTACATTTCCTAAGTCTACTCAGCGCTTTTATCTACCAAACATAATCCAACAAACTACTGCATTTTTCGCCCCCCCATCATATCTTGATACTTTTTTACCTCTTTTTCTTAAAATATGTATTAAACCCATAACTAAACCCCTTTCTTTTACAAAGTTCAATCAAAGGGCTCCCCTTATCATTTACACCTGCACCCCAAACTTACCTACCACAAAACCCCCTCTAAAAAAATTCTTACTTTAGCTTTTAGGTCCCCTACCACAAAATTTCTCTCTCACTTTGTTCAAAGGGTCCTATACATTAATTTTTAAAACTCCCAAAATCCCTTTTCTCTCCTCTGCATTCCTCTCTCTCCAGGTGCTACACGCTTTTTTTTGACCCATTCTCGCATCCAACCTTTTCTTTAATCCACTAATTCTTGAATTACCATTCAAATCAAAATATATATAAAAAACTTTTTATATATTATAACAGAAAAATAGGGCCGGGGCCGAAAAGTGGGCCTGGTTGTAGCAGGTCCACACTTGCAGTGGTTACGATGTTTAAATAGGAAGACTTTTAATAAAAGGAACCCCAAATGCAACTTGTACATTTTTTGTGGGAACGTTTGCTCTCCCGGGCTTTATAAGCCATTCAACAATACATGGGCACAGAGGGTATATAAAGGCTCAGAGTGGGTGAAACTAGTGAGGTAAACCCTTTCGATGTTCACAGGGGAGTAGTATTTGTATTTGTAGTAATGGTAGTGACAAAAAATAATACAATAGGTTGACAATTAATTCGCATGAGTAAAAGGTATAAAAGCTATTACTTGCGAACAAAAAAAATAGGTTTGGGCAAATATAAAATGAATGAGGCAACTTGTTTTTGTGTTCATCTCTGTGCTTTGTGTAGTATAACAGGGGAGCTACTACACAAAGCACAGAGATGAAACGAAACAAAACTGCCTCATTCCAGTTTATATTTGTCCCAAATATTTTTATGTTACCCAAAAAAATACTTTTATATCCTTTTCCAGTACGAATTAATGCTTACCATATTTATTACTTTTGTCATACCCCTCTATACTACTACTACTACTACCACGTGAACACGAAAAGGTACCTCACTAGTATTCACCTCACTCTGAGCCTTTATATACCCTCTGTGTCCATGTATTGTTTGTAATGGCTTGATAAAGCTCCTGGAGAGCGAAACGTTGCCACAATAAATGTCACATTAGTTGCACTTGTGTCCTTTTACTTTACATATTGTCGGTAATTCTACCAACTTTATTACAATAGGAAGACTTACCTGTGCTGCTAGCACCAACTGTGACTACTGTCTCCCTCACAGCTCCAGAAGCTATTCTCATACTTGTCAGAGCCATAGTACAGAGGTGGGAGACTAACCTGGGCTAGATCAAAGCAATGGGTGTGGAAAGCTTTGACACAGTCGTCGTAACATCCCCAGCGGGTGATACCGTGGATGTGTTCTGTTGTTGCTATCTTCGCCGCCATCATGCTATCTTTAGTCAGCTCCCACACTAGGCGGACCATCAACAAACTCGCCTGAATCCTCTTCTGGAGACATGACGAGATGCTGAATCAGTAACGTCTTTCTCTCTCTCTCTCTCTCTCTCTCTCTCTCTCTCTCTCTCTCCTCTCTCTCTCTTTGTCTCTCAAAACTGCCCACAAATACATACCTATATAATGCAAAACAAACAACGGGGAAGGGGAAGGGGGAGGGTGGAAATCCTTAGATCAAGTACTTTCACACTTCTCAGTGTGTCATCAGGAGATGTGCAATGTTGCAAGACAGTAACTGAACGATTTAGCGGAAGTTTTTTTTTAGAGTAGCACAACGCGGGTTGACACCAGCTGCAGTCTCAGAGTGAGACTGCAGCTGGTGCCAACCCGCGCAGCACTATGAGAAAAAACTTCCCCTCAATCCTACAGTTGCTGCCTTGCAACATTGCACAGCTCCTGATGACGCACTGACAAGTGTGAAAGTACTTGAGCAAAAGATTTCCATTATACCTATATACATACATTCACACTCATGAAAACGAAATTTAATTAGCCAATGACTCTACCACAAGTTTCTTCAACACAAGTTCACTCGCCATTATCAGAGCTCTTACCTGCAGAAGAGACTGGAGAGCTTCCTGCCAGTGTTTCCCTTCAACAGTATTGTTGGCTGACTTCAAGCGAGACTTGATGATAGCTACAGGCACGTCGTCACTCACCATGGAGGAGCTCTAGCAATATATATATAACTTTAATGTTAAAAACAACATAGACTTAGTTGATAAATTAAGCTCCTTGACTGACATAAATGATTTTAACATGGTTAGTTTTGATGTTACTTCCTTGTTTACGAAAGTTCCTGTTGATGATTTATTAAGTTTCTTATCTGAAGAACTCGTTAACTATGATTTACCATTGCCAGTTCCTACTATCATTAAACTTATTAAACTTGCATTGTTATGCAAA